GAACCCCGATCCCAGCGTGGCCAAGGTTTTCGAAGACCAGGCCATGAGCCGTAGCATCTACGCCAAGGGCTTCGGAGAGGAAACTCCTACCACCCAGATTGACATTGAGGCCTTCTTCGCTCCTTACGGACCCGTCAACGCGATTCGTCTCCGCCGCACACACGATCGGATCTTCAAGGGAAGCGTTTTTGTTGAGTTCGCGACTGAGGAGAAGCAGAAGGAATTCCTTGCGCTGGATCCTAAACCCCAGTGGAAGGGACAAGATTTGCTCATCAAGAGCAAGAAAGATTACTGTGAGGAGAAGGTTCGGGACATCGAAGCTGGCCGCATCAAGCCCAGCCGTGGCCGTGGTGGTTTCCGTGGACGTGGCCGTGGCCGTGGCGGCCCCCGCGGTGGTGACAAGCGTGACTGGCGCGAGCGTCGGGCAGAAGACCAGAAGAACGGCTTTGGCAAGCCTCAGGGCGAGCAGCGCCGTGAGGTCCAGAAGGACGCTCGGTAAGTTATAGCATCTTTCTCCTGGTCTTGCAGCATTTGACTAATCCGCTTATAGTGGTGTTCCCGTCGTGCAGAGCACCGCCGACGATGCTACAGCTGGCCAGAAGCGGACCCGCGAGGACGAGGCCGCTGCCAACGGCGAGCACCCTGCCAAGAAGGTTGATGCCAAGGAGTAATGGCTTCGCTCTCTTCTGTTCAAGTTCCCGACTGGTCCCACCCTTCATCACGGAGCTAATGGATTATTCCCATTTGTTATGGTACAACAAAAGCACTTGCGTCTTTTGCTGCTGGTTTCTTAATGGCGTTGTATATCATTTGTTGTCATCATTGATACTTGGAGGTTATTCTTTGCAGGATCTAGCAAATGGTCATGATAGAATTTTGGCTCTTCAGCCTCCACCCACGGCTATAATACCCTTGTAAATCAATTCTCGAACTCCAAGTCATACGCCAGCGTATCGTCGCACAACTCCTCTCTGAGCTTCGACACCCTACGGCCCCTCATTAGCCACTTCAAACACACCTGTCACAAGGAAGGCGGAAACAAACTCAAGGTGGACCGGATGCGTAGCATAAGAAGCCACAGCGTCGGGCGACTCCATCACAGCCACAATCCCCATATCAAACCCCTTGGCACGGGGAACACTGATAGGCAACGGCTGCCCGGCCTTCAGCGAAACCAAACCGGGGATCCTACCCACCATGCTCTCCGCAACAGTGACCCAGTTGGCGAGCTGGGCCTGCGTGACGCCTGGCTTCAGGCGGAAGAGAACTGCCACTGGTCAATCATCCGCGTTCGTTGCAGCAGGGTAGCAGGGTACGCACCGATGTGGTAGACTGGCATTTCCTCGGTTTAGACTTCTCTCTATCAATTTGTCTATTTCTCGATGAGTCGACCAGATGCGGGAGCAGCAGGCACTTATATAAATGGCACGGTAATGTTTCGTATGCTTCTCGGACCGGGGAGGGGTCGGGGAGTCGGGTTATCGCCGATTGGTGGAATCATTTAATTATGGACGGCTTTGAATGATCTTCCGTTGATGAAACGGGCAATTGGTCTGTTGCAGCCAACTTGCTTGCGGCGTTACCTCTGACACTAGGCTGTGAGCCTCCTTGTGCTGAAAGATTCCCGGGTCGACCGTGGCTGCTGGAATCGGTGGACAAGTGACCATCCAGTACAAATGGCCTGATAGAGCAATATCACTGTCAAATGACGACAAGGGAGTTTCATGATGAAGAGCCCGGGAGTCAAAATCTACCGTTATGAAGGATATCTTATGACGAAGAGATGCATGTAATTCTTCCGTTCAAGGCATGTGGTATACCCAATTATTGATCAATGCTTTATCTAATCGCTAAATACAATATATGCCTTCCCTCAGGAGGTTCATTTCTTCTTCTTCGTCTTATCCACCACATCAATCCACTGCGTCTTGACACCGCGTCGGAGCAGCGCTGTTTCCACAGCCTTCCTTTGGTCACCTTGAATAAGTACCTCCATCACGCCTTTGGTGGCTCCAGTGGCCTGGGCAACGCTGGTACTGCTAGCGCATTTCTTCTGCAGCTCTTCAGCCAGCAGACTAGGAACTATACCGAAGATCTCCAAATTCGAAACTTTGGTGACAGTTTTCGAACCTGTCCGCTTTTCGAGAACGAGGTTGACCTTGGGAGTTGCACCTGCTTTCGGTTTCACATCGGATGGGGCCTGACCCTGCCTGAGGATTACATAGTGTGGAGTTAGGAACGCCGAGTCTTCCACGATCCGCTTCAAGAGGCCATCTCGGGTCGTCATGCCACGTGCAATGGTGGTCTTGTCCTCGGCTGATGAAGATGTGAAGATTGTGTTTGCAAGGAAAGGATTGAGCGAGATGATCCGGCGGTTCTCACTGGAGACAATAGGCGGGTTTTGAGACTGAATGTATTCGTCCAAACGGTTGGACACTTCAGAATACTTGTAGTAGTTCCTGGGGTCACCGCTCGAAAGAGCTGGGAAGATTGTCGGGGTAAGCTTTCCCGTTGGCCGATAAAGAGTCTGAACGGTTATTGTCTGTCCGACGGAAGGGTCTCCCTCCGAAGTTGCAGGCGTCTTGTTTCCGGGGACGGGCTTGCCCGCATTCTCAACGGCGTTCTTTGATGGAAGTTTGTAAGGAACAAATTGCTCGACGCGGCGGTCGTTGAAATCCACATCGAGGATGACAGTTTCTTGTCCGCTGCGGTCTTTGGATTTGACGAGACGCTGCTTATCAAGATGTTTGATGAACTTTTTGACATTCTTCCAGCTTGTCTTTTTGATCTGATAGTATTGAGCCTGCTGAGGAGAGTAAATCGGGAGGTAAGGAGTAAGCATGTTCGAGACAAGGGCGGATGGTTGCACAGGAAGGGACAGGCCATGGTTCGGTGCGGTGGGGTTGTCCTGTTTCAGTTTGTACAGAGAATAGAGGAAGGCTTTCTCAAAAGCCTCGTCGATTTCTGCAGGTTGGTCAGTTTCCGAACGAGATACCGAGGGAGAAATAATGAGCGCCGACCTTTTGTAGAAGGTTCTTTCGCTTCCTCAACGGGAGCCCCCTCTTCATGCTGCTGCTCGGTAGAGTCGACTTGAGGCTCCTCCTCCGCAGGTTGCGTCTGCCGATCTTTGTCCAAGGAAAGCTCATTGATTCGCTCCTCAGTTTCCGCGACGTCTTCCTCGCCCGCTTCCAAATCCCACCCAGCCAGATATTCAGGAGCAGGCTGTCCAGGACGAGAAGACGAGCTCCAGGCCCACAGCTCATCACCTTCCCAGTGTACGCCTCGGACGGCGTGTCCTTTTGTGCCCTGAACCTCTCCAAGTCCTGCAATATCAATTTCGCAGACGCCCACAAATAACGGGACAGTGTGTCGGTCCAAACCAGCCACAGCGACAACAGCTCCTTTGACCGCGCGCTCAGGAAAAGGAGGTTCATCCGCAAGGCCGGGGGTCATCAGGTCTGCGCCGCCACGGAGCTTCTGCATGACCATTTCTGGCGTGTGAAGCAAGGGCGCTAGGTTGGGATTGTGCCATAATGTGTAGACCGTGGGATAGAATCGTCCATCGGCTCCGGGCCCATGTTCCACCTTGAACCATAAAATGCGTTCCTCACCCTCGGGATGCGTTCCTACGTAGACTGTGCCTTGGACTTCTCGGAGCTGGGGCCCTGCAGTGGTGGTGAAGCGAGCAGAGAGCGAGTTTTCCGGAAGAAGGGAGTTTCGGATCGCTGTGATGTTGGGCGAGGTTTGGTTCGACGTGGTAGGAGTATTGGAGTCATCCTCGGCTGGTGCAGCTGACGGAATACTGATATTGTAGTCGCTGATGATTTGGTCGGCGATCTTGCGGCGGTCCGAGGATCGTAAGGGCGCAAGGTTCTTGATCTGTAGTTTGAGAAGTAAGTATAAAGTTGTCATTCTACGACTTGAACAGACTGCCAGCGAGGGGAGAAATGCGGGGGAGGGGCACAACGTACTGTCGGCTTTTTCTTGAACATAGTGGTGTATGACGGGGCCCAGAAATATGATATGAGTCTGTCTCAAGCTGCTTGATACTGATAAATACAGCCTGCTCAAAACAGGGCTCGTGGAAGAAGGGTACAAAAGACGCTGGAACAAAAAGGAAAAGTTGATGTCAGTTCGGTATTTGTCCGCAACAACAATAGGCCGCTTTTCCCCGCTTCTTGAGGTCAATCTTGTCTTTTTTTTCTGTGCACTGGTCCAGACACAAGGTAGGTACCAGAGGTATACTCGTCTTTATTATGAAGTGACGTTTGCATATAAGTAGGACGAAGGGCTTTGCACAAATTTCTCGCAGACTGTGCTGCTGCGTCTCTTTGCAAAAATTTCCAAACGACCACTTTCAACTCAAGGATCAGGAATTCAAGATCATTTAAATGGTCGCCGTCCAGGCCTATTGCACTGGAGCATTAGCAATTAACCTAGCCCCGGGATCCTGGTAACTGTTAATGGAGACAGAGATGTACTATCTAAACTGTGGCCTAGAATGAAGACGGGGAACAGCAAGCCAAGAGCAATCTCTCCATTTGCTACTCCATGTTTGACGCAGTTGTCTTGGAGAGAAGTAGATGAAGGAGAGATGTCAGGTAAGGGGAATCATGGTTTCTTATACATATAGAACGATAAGGCCCCCTGTGTTTTCTGTGGAAGATGATAAATATATGAAATAGCCTACAGTGAAGTTAATTGAAGGGACATTTAAGGCCGTTGGAGAATAACAGGTTAGAACACCAATGTTCAACAGAGCTAGTAACCCGAGTAGATGTACTTTACAAGCATTCTACTTTTAGTGATACAGATGTAAAACAAGAGCAAAGAATGATCAGCATAGAGCAAGAGCTCCAATGGTTTTGTTGCTTCTAAAGTACAAAAAGGATACCCGATCCCATATATGTATGTTTGAAAAAGAAAACTCGTCAGAGGTGCGATGCACGAAAGTTAAATGTGCAGGGAAGGGCTTGTCGATTCGTTCGAAGTGCTTTGATCTAGGCAGAGAGATCACGAGCGTGCACCTTCTCCGTAACCAGCCAAGAGAAGGTCTCCTTAAGGACCTTCAGGAACTCCTCGGCGCTGAGGGAGTTGAAGTACTCGGTGAGGCTGCTGCCGCTGGGAAGAGTGCCGCTGGAGCTGGAGCTGCCGGCAGTGGAGCTAGGGGTGGCGGTAGGAGCCTGGACGTAGCTCTGCTGGGCAGGAGTGCTGGTGACGGTGACAGCCTCGGTGGTAGTGGAGGGCTGGTAAACAGTCGCAGAGCTAGTCTGGACTGCAGTAGAGGTCTGAGTGATGGTGGCAGAAGGAGCAGCGGCGCTAGACGAGGCGGAACCACCGCTGTTGGAGCTGCCAGAAGAAGCGCCAGAGTAGAGAGCGGGACCAGGAATGTCATAGGAGCTCAGGCTCTGGTAGATATTGACAAGGATGCCGGCGTCAGTGTTCTTGTAGAGCGCAGTGCCGAGGGTACCTGCAGGCTTGTCGCTGCCACCACCGGTGACCTTAAGGTTGATGCACTGAGGGTAGTTCTGGGCACCGTTCTGGTTTCCAGCGGAGTGGAGGGCAATGATTTCGTGACGCATGACATAGTTACCAGCGGCGATGGAGCTGGGAACAGTCACCGTCCAGCTGTTGTTGTTGGCGATTAGGTTGTCGGAGGCCCAGGTGCCAGGAACATTAGAGTCACTGATCAGACCACTCTCATCAATCTTGAAGAATTCCAGACTGGTCTTGTCAACTGAGGCGCAATCACCATTGCAGTTGGCCATGTAGGTAATGACCTGTACTAAGTTAATACCCTAACCGATTATTCCATGGATGTCTTACGAAGACATACCGGTCCGTGGTGAGATTCAGGCCATTCAGTCCATTGGAATTCAACCTTTCCACCGGCCTTGATCTCGGCAGAGATGGCACCATTCTTAGCACTCTTGTGGCAGATGATGTCGCCGCTAGAGTAGCCGCTACCGTCGACGAAACCCAGATCGGTAGCGGTTTCAGACCAACCGATGCTCTCAGGAGGGCTGCTCATGTAAGGGTATTGGTTGACGAGGTATCCAGTGTAGTATTTGCCATCAACAACGGCACCCGACACGAATCCGTGACCAGCAACCAGAGCGGCCGAGCTGAGAAGAACAGCTGCAATCTTAGAGACAGACATGTTGTAGGTTTTGTACTATTGTCCAAACGATCAACGCACAGCGTAATCTTAGGTTCGAATCGAACGAGAGACGAGAGAAAGAATGACGAAAATAGGACTTCAGTCAATGAAGTCGATAGAACAAAATGAGAGAATGGAAGGTGCTGAGACCGTGAGAAAGGAGTGCTGATGGGAAGAAGAACAGAAGAAAGCTGTCCCCCATCGCAACGAACACGGTTCTTATATCTCCAGCAAGCTTGAAGAAGCTATCTAGACCCGGTTAAAGCGCCGAACAGCTATCCAAATTTGAAATGAAGCCAGTTCTGTAAGGTCCATCGCAGGTATCTACTCCTTACGGTGTGGACATCACTAGATTGCTTGGTAGGGCTCCTGTTTCGATTCAAATTCAGAATTATCTGATAGGTGGAGAAAAGTCGAGATAGAGCCACCGAGTCAGAGATTAATGAGAACGAGTCATGTCTGCGGTGGTCGACGAATACGTTGGCGTTGAAGCTGCATCAGGGGGTTAATATAGCACTTCCTGCTTGGGAATAGTGGACATGTCTCTTGTGACAATCCGAGTTTCATCCTGCTTTTCTTTATTCATTAGCTCAACGTTTCCCCACTCTGTCTCCATTCTACCGTGTCAGGAAACCGTTATTGAAATGGTTTTAGGACCTGGTGGATCTATCATATTCATTGATACGAGAATGCTTGTTGTATTGCATTAATCGCTGGCGCCTCAATGGAAGGTCCATTTACTTCTGACACCGACTCAGGTACCCGTCCTCTTCCATGAACGAATCGGCTATGCTCCGCGATCCACATGGACTTCTATTCCTATATGTCAAGCTGATGGAGACCAGAAGAAGAAGGCAGATTGAAGCAGTCAGACTAGTTCTGTTGACGCTGTGCGGTCACAGGTGAGTGATGACAAAGCCATAAACTGGCGATTGAATCTTGTGGAAATGAATGAGCTGAGGGCGACTCAATACAGAGTACTCTACGGAGTACTGCCAAACGCTCCGGCTGGGCAGCGATGGAGTGAGTTCTACTGCGTACCAAGTTAATGAACCGATCCATCCAGATACGTCTGGCCATCCCATGTATCAGATAGGCCATGTCTGGCGAACGGGGCCCCGGTTCTTCATTTACCGGTATTTAGCCGCCAAACCCTCTATATCAGACCATACCAGCAATAGGGCCATCTCCTTGTCATTTCCTGAAGCGCCAGTGTTCGTTACTGACAACGTCACTCTTTCTGCCGAGAGCTGCAATCTGCACTTATTGGTGCAGGGGGCTGGGCTGAGGATCAATATACGCTGCACAGATCATTCGAAGGTAAGACACCTACTTGGCTGGAAATGAGGCTTTCCTTGTTCAGGTGGTGCCGGTGCTGTGGTCTGAAACGCCCGAATGCTTCGGGTTGCCGCTGGCCCGCTCTGCCTTCTCCTGAGCCCTGAATCAACCGCACGCATAAAAGCGGTTTAGTGCCTTGGATTTTCTGACCGAGTCTGCTCCGTGTCAATTTCTATCCAGCGTCTGAGGCTCTGGGCTCTCGCTCTCTTTTCAATTATTCGCCCCCTAAGTTCCTGACAGGCAGCGCCTCTTTCAAAAAGTGGGGCTATCTTATAACCCAAGGGATACTGCATCCTCTTCGTCAAAGCGGGCGGGGAAAGGCAGATGCTTCTTGTCAATCAAATGGAAACCACTTGCGAGGATTTGCCTAACATGTGACAGGTCTTGACGACAGTTCATTGAAGAAATCAATTCGTAGAGGAAACAATAGGAAAAGCACCCATCACCATTCTTGTCATACTGATGCAAGAAAGAGATTCAACAAAAATCCCTACAGCCCAGGATGTGCAGCATTTTATTGCTTAAAATGGATTACAGGCGAAAGGAGGAGCATTCACAAGGGCAATATCAATCGACCCGCGGTTGTATATCCGTAGCAGGGATTCAATCACCATGTGCCTGAAATGGAAGTCGATGCAACTATGTCTCAGAATTTAAGAACTGACTGGAATAGAGTCCATTACTGCCTCCACACTATGAAGAATGCTGAATTGGCGGTTCATCTGATATTCGGTTAATCCCACAATCGCCAGACATGCCAAACTCCTGAGAAGACGAACTGGGTTCTTGGCTACAAAGCTTCTTGTAGCAACGCGCCTCTCGTCCTCCAGAGACTAACCTCTCCGGATTCCCAGACTGCTTCGGACGGACGCATGTATGACTCGATCTACTGAATACACTGGCAGCAAGAGTGGTGCAATCTTGGAATATGAAGGCAATGGCCTTGCGATGACTTGGAAGTGAGTATACGCTTTGAAGCTGTGCTCGCCATTGTAGTATACAAGTCCCCAATGCTGCCGAGTGGGCCTACGGGACTGCGGCATGGGTGATGACTCCGTTCGCCGTGACGCCACTGGATATGGTGAGGAAATGACTAGGGCAATTAGCTTAAAACTCAGCGATGATTCCAGATCATTGCAGGGTATATGGAGCTACCATTGTCGGGCTCCTTATCTTGACTGAATACGAAGATGGCCTGGCTCGAGGTAGACTATACCGCGGATACTCCGCATCAGCGACCTCAGGGCCTTGATCAGCTTACGAACCTTCTAATTGCCGACGGCTTCTTAGGTAGTTGCGATCAGAATGGGACAGATGCGATCAAGCTTGCGTTCCATCAGCGTAGTCGTTTTCTAACGACTCGAATGGTACTAGGATCCATGTACTAGGGAATCAGATCAGCCAGCAGAATCTCACGATGTCCGTCCGAATGGCCATGACCTCAGTGAAGGACGTCTCGTATGCAGTCGGTCGAGACCTTCCTCTACAGCCTCGATGATCCGGCCCTTATTATCCCCCACAAGCCGCCAAAGCTACTTGATTTGCCATTTTCTTCACGCGAGCTCCTAGGTGTGGCGGGACTGGAAGGTCGCCTGTAGAGTGTTGTAGGCCTCGTGGACATCTGCTTCCGAGGCGTAGGGCAGCATACTGCTCGGGAGCACCGCGAGCTTGAGAGTTTTATTCTTCTACCACCCGAGAAGGACCGTCTATTTCACATTGCAAGTGCGCGCACAGCTAACTATAGCTCGCATGTGCCTGCTCCTATGATCATTTCGCCGATCAGAAAAGAGGGGTTCGATGAACCGAAGACATGGCGTCATTTTAGATACAGCCAAGTGACCTCGACGATTTATTGATCGGACAAATGGGCTGTGAAATCGTCATGCTTGTGCTTCTCTGTGCACCCTGTTTTCAGGTGTTATACGCACGACCAAACCGTTACAGGACGTCTCTGAACCGATCTGCCTCGGCTATGACCTATTAGAAACATCAGAGCACAACGACGATCAAGACGGACTTCGTTTCGCTAGATTATCTCTTTACACGCTGTCCGATTGAAGAATCATGGATGAGGTAGAACATCTTAGTATGGCGGGATGGATAATGATATACGTCTTCTGATGAACTACTTTGGGAAATACGCAGTGTCAAGGCATGAATTCCAGAATATATACATTCATCGACTTGAGGGTGGACCAATCTGGGGCTGTTTTGATAAGGAAAGTCAAAAATGGCAATCTGACTAGGGCGAGTTAGTAGATAATAGAAATATTGCTCTTCCAAGGGATTTGGAGTTCCCATTTCGCAAGCGCAAAGTCGAGTGGGTAGGAAGGATAAGAGAAATATATTCCACAATTCGGACTGGAATCCAAACTCTTCTGTCCACCATTCACTATAGAAAAGTCACGCTTCATTGAGCCATGACACCAAAGGCACATGGCTCCCACAGTGCGAAATATAAGTAGTCGATCACCCCTGCCGCTGTGTGTATATCGAATCCGAGGGCATTCATTGGCAAATTACCTATCCGAGGGAACCCACCTAGGGCCGCCATATCGCAGATAGTATTTAGGACGCACCGGACGATATGCTATTGGATAGTATCTAAGTGCAACACGACCAGGTTGGTCCTAGATCTTGGCTTGGATGGCTAGGATATCAGGCAGGCAATGCATGCCGATCAGACTGGTGGAAGTCGTCCAATACCTGTCCTACGTTTCTCGGCAAGGAACAAATGATGACCTGATAACATTGCTAGCAATGCGGGAGAAGTCTAGGTCGATTTGTCTCTGTCATGGTCTTTCCATAAAGCAATTCCCCTGACCTTTTCTGGTTGGTGCCAGACTAGAGAATTGCGAGTTGCGATAGTACTGACAGCTCTTTTGTATCTACCTCATCTGTAGTCTATGCTCAGTACTCCGTACGGAGTACGCTTCGCCCAGAACGCACGGTCACTGGAGGTGACTAACTATCCAGGAGGAATGCATGATATGCGTCCCGCGCTAACCCGCTCATAAACCCCCTACTGTCGATGCATACATTCAAGGAACTACCTGAGATACAAGAAAGAGAAGTACTGAAGGCTTTAAATGAGATCATCTCCTATGGAAGCCAAAGTCTGAAGCGACAGCCTCAATAGTTTATATGTGTGAAGGAAGTGAGAGAAGACAAAGTCGGAGCCAAGACCAATGATAATCTGGTAGCCTAAAGACTGACCAACCCAGAAAAGGACTAGCGTATCCATAAGAGTCACCTATTAGAATGGTTGCCTGATTTTTCTGGCTGGCAGATTTTTTGCCAGTTCCGAATAATACGGGAAGGAGACAGATAGACCCGACGACTATGACCAGGTAGAATACGCTACGGTCTCAACCAACCCCCTTTCCTCTGCGATGAATCGTCCTTATCATCAACTACCTACCTAATCTACTTGGGGGCGTTCTCTGCTTTCAGTGTTGTTTCTCAGTCAGACTGTTGTTACACTTTCTTTCTCTTGTCACTGTGGGAATTCTTTAGACCATCTCCTCTCTTCAAACTCCCTTCGTCCCCAGAGACGGTCGCCGCTCCAGTTTTTCCCTCCCTTTTCCACACCCTCAACAAGAAACCGATCGGGTGCTATTACCGCGCCTCTCAATTCCGTACGCCGCAGCGGGCACGATCAA